ACTCGAATGATCATAATATCAGTATAAGCACCCTCACGTAGACCACGAAACACCTTGCATGTGGAAATTGGGTCTGATACAAACGAAACACAAAGAAAACCTCCAAAACTTCACACCTCGACAGCGTTCATTCACAAACCAACAAACAGAAAACTGAAACAGTAAGCAACAAAGCCGATACCTCGTGGAAGACTTGGAAGTTTGAAATCACGCGGCATTATACAACGATGCCTGATATGGAAAGACAATGGAAGATCAAAGATTTCTTCAAGTGTCAAGAAACAGAAACAGAATGCAAAAGGGAAAACTATCGGCGAGCATACCCCATTGAATACACCATTGCCCCTGATCTAGAATTCGCGAAGCACTGTAGTTCGTGGGAGGAGAAGTTCAGAGAACAGGGGAAGTTAAAAGACAGAATCAGAAGCGAAATGAAGAATCGGTGGCAGTTGGTCCCCAAAACGTTTTCGCATCACCGTTATAAAATAACAAATTGAATATTAAATGGGCTGTTAACTGTTCCCCTAATGGACCGAACAATTATAGAATGGGTTTCCCAAAAGCCATAGAAACTTAATATAAGCACAAAGTCATCTCCTATTGGGGCTAAATATGAGAATACTGGACACAATTCATATATCCACTTATGTATCGTAAAAGAGGGCCCATTATTTATATTTTTCTATACGCGGCCGGGTTTGAAGCAAATTGAGTATACACAAATGTTCCATTCGAGGACACTTTACTCATGTATCCGTAGTTTATTACTGTTTATTCATTTTGTAACATTGTCAATGGTCTAAGTGATACCACACAATTAAATTAAAGTTTGCTCTTGTTGTATATTTAGAACATGAGTTGTATTCGGTTCCTCGTTCATGGTTATGTTCCTCAAATTTGGTGCTGTTAGGGTCAGTTTTTCTGATATTTAGATGACTATCCACAAGCATCTATATATTTAGATGACTATCCACAGGCATCTATATTTAGATGCCTTCCACAAGCAACGATTTACTGGTTGCTCCTCTTTTCTTGCATACATTCTAAAACTGTCGTGCACCAAGGCAATCAACGTTACATCCGACATCATAAAAATACATAAAGAACACCATCATACTCCGTACAGTAACTATACATAGAACTTTGTACAAAAGAAGCTCATTAGATACAATTACACTTCCTAACTCTGACAGTTCCTCTGCCCACCAAATGTAACCATCTCCCACAACGTTCAAAGCACCCCACCGGGAAAAATAGTAGCAATTGCAAAGGCAACACCTATTCTGCAACCATGTAATAATTCAAGGGTCACTACTCAAACACATTACAGAAAAGAATGGCAACAAATAGCAATAGTGGATTCTAATCCTACTGAAGAACGTAATCACTCGCGGGCTCCAAACGCACCCAAAAAACTTAGAAAATCACTATAGGAACTGGAGCCACTCCTCTTTACTGAGTCCTCTCTCGTCTCGAGACAACTACCAACAACTGATCTTCCATTTCTTTCTCAAGGAGAGCCAAGTCAAATCCGTTTCTCCTCTGAGTCCTCTTTCGCCTCGAGACCACCACCAAGAACTGACCTCCAACTTCTTTCTCAAGGAGGGTCTAGTCAAATCCCTGTCTCGTATCAGAAACCCAGAGAGAGAAGAAGGTATGCGAGAAAATACAGCCAGAAAAAGAGGAGTAAAGGATCGGACCTCTGCGGGTAATGTGCTCAACTTCGCAAAGGCCCACGCAGGAAATCCGGCCCAAACTCAAAAAACCCAGGTAAAACCCACAAAGGTGGTAACGTAACAACAATTATCACAACAAACCTAGAACGCAAAAGAAGAAAAAAAGTAGAGGGTAAGACAGTGAGTTGACGCGACATTCAACATAAGAGTTCATGAAAACTTGCGGATCTGTACAGTAAGTATTCTATACTGGTCAGAAGTAGGCGCAAACAGACGACGCATTCTTCATCCTCACTGGTGCAGGGAAACAGCAGATGCTGGGCTCCTCAATCCTCATCGAATCAACCCCTCCATCCTCATCTGAATTACAAAAAACCTATCAGATCCACACAACCCATAAAACAATCCTTGATTTAAGAATCCGAAAATCACCAACAATCACTCAAACAAAAAGATGAAAAGAAAGATGTGATTATATATCGATATATCGGAGATTCCTGACGATGGATCAAATCCCTTGATCAATGAGCATCTTAACTTTTATGATGATCAACAAAGGTTACTGGCAAATACTATGATAAGCAAACTGAACACAAAATAGCCTTCCAACTACCTGCAATTACAAACAGAAAACAGGATCCAAACGATTAAGAGACTCGCAAAAAGAGAAAAGAAACTGAACAGAAAATAGCCTTCCAACTACTTGCAATTACAACAGAAAACAGGATCCAAACGATTAAGAAACTCGCAAAAAGAGAAAAGCAAACTCAACATAGAGAGACGGATAAATCAGCTGGGACGAATACAAAACCTGCGAAACTGGATCTTTTCCAGACCTCTCAACTGTCCTCCAGTGTACCTGGATCTCCTCCAGATCTCTCAAACCTTCTTCTTCCAATAAGAGAGCCGAGAATCCCCAACGCAGATAGACCACCGAGGGCGCGAGAGGGAGAGAGAGCAGCCGGAGAGGTGAATAACAAAAGGGGAGAGAGTAACATGCTAAAGAGAAGCAAAGTTTCTTTAAGCGGCAAGATGAAGAAAAAGAAAAGAAACAGATCCTCTCAATTTAATTAATGGCCTAGTCTGCACAAAACAGTAATAGCCTCTCTCAGCGTCGAACAACGCAAGGACTTTCCAGGCCCTCCCAGAGGCACCCAAAACCGGTCTTTTCATACAGTAGAGAAAAAGTATGTCAAGGTGTCTCTCTGTATCTAGAAAACCCTCCACTGTCCAGGAACGACCCACCTCTCCACTGTCCAGGTATGTCACTCTGATCCACACATCCACAAACCCGCCAGATCTCCCAACGCTCAATGATTCCTCCCCAGCAAAACACCCAAAGCAACTGAATAAACCTCGATCCACACACCCGCCTCTGCCAAAGCAGCATATAGATCTCTGATGATCTAACGCCCGTCAGAGCCACCAAACGACCCCAATGCAGAGATACTGAGCAACACAACTCCTTTCAATCAACTTTTCAGTCCCTCTCATGGCCCACCATCTCTGAGCTATCCCATCTCCCAGCACAGTCTCACCCAAACCCGCCAGATCTCCCACCACTTAACGATCCCTACCAAGCAGAACACCCACAGAGTAACCGAAACCCTCGATCCGCGTGCCCGCTCGGGCCAAAGTAAAATATCGATCTCTGATGACCAACGCGCGTCCGGGCCACCAAACGACCCCAACTAAGGCCAACCAGAAGGCAACGACCAGTCCCACCCCGACCGAGCCCCCAAACTCCGTCAGATCCCAATGAGGCCTCACCCAACAACAGCCCACACGCCAGCCCACGGCAGGTTGAAATAGTAATTCTGAGTCACGTTGTACAGTAAAAGGTGTCTGCGTGTACAGTACCAGGGGCTGCGGTGGGTTTCTTTCTTTCAATTTCAGTCACCCCCCTGCCATGGACGATATTATAGGCCATGTAATGCACGTGCTCAGTGCTCTTGTGGCCTTGCATCCACCACAAACCAGGAATTCTAAAGATTAGGCTGAGAAATGACATTGAAGCCACCGCAAGATCGCCGACCGGATTCCCGGTTTGCCGGTGCCGTTCACGTCTTGGGTCTCCCGGCGGCGGCCAGGCCACCTTAGCCCTTTTGTCGGTGCTGCTTCCACCTGTCCATAGATTGTCGTGGGCCATGTGGTCAAACCCAGCTCCATTATTTCTCCTCTTTTTTGCCTATCTGTCTTGGATATATGCCTCTCCGTTTCTTTCCGCAAGATACCCCGAAATTGATCTCAATAATTCGAGTTGTTGGTAGAGGTTCATGTATAATATTTAATCACTTTCTTACATGTCCTTTCAAACGAAAACCAGGATTTGAAGTTTGTACAGACCCGCCACACTATGTGCTTTAAGACAACAGTTAATATTGGGGATTATGAGAACTTGAACATGTTATCTCAAAGACAAACTAGTTCTGATACCATGTCACAAACCAACTGGTCTTAATAACTCCAGTTGTTGGGAGAGTTCCAAGTATGATACTTAACCACTTCCTTACCATTCTTCACATACATAGTGAAATATGTCTATCTAAACTATGAATTAAACATAATTTGGAATATGATGCTCTAGCCTAACATTTAATGCATAAACTCATAAAAATATAGATCAATTCGCTAATAAGACAATAGTCGAGTTGGTTCACTAACCACAATGATGAGATATCTCATGAGTTTAAAACGAATTAGCTCGCAAGTTGAGCTGACTCACAAACCTAACGAGCTGAAAAATACTTTAGGTTAAACTTGGCTAATTAATAAACTACTCGAAATTTGATAAACCACTAAACAACTCAGTCAATTTGCAGCATAAGTTGCAAGATGCTCCAAAATCACGTCGGTCGGTGTTAACTATGACTTCATATATAGTTCATTGATATATAATATTGGCGTTCCAAGTAATCTTGTCCATGTCTGGAAAAACGAATAAATAGTTATTCACTACAATAATATGGAAAAACCAAAATTATCCGACCTACACTTAATTCCTTTCCCAACAAGGGACCTAAGTAGGTGTCAAGGTGTGTTACTCTTAATTAAAATTCTTTCTAATTTAACTACTAACATCAAATTAATATTTTTTTCACACTTGAAATGATTTCTTAGTGAAAGATTTAATATATAATATTATTCCCGATGCAATTGTTGAGATCAAAATTATAATAAAAGATGTATAATGAACGTTATTATTTTAGTCGACTCTTTTAAAAGTTCGATAAAAATATTGATTTCTAAGTTATGGCTGATTGTGTTATGAATTCAGATTTACGGATATATTATATAAGGATGGCCTTAATCAAGTATGCTTACACTAAGTTATGGCTAATTGTGTTATGAATTGGAAATGGACGTAATAATATTACTCAATTTACCGTAATACAATCCAGTAATTTTCCTGTAATGGCGGGGTTTAATTCCTCAATTAGCGACGGAAACTGACCAAAATTATTTCCCTCCCTCTTTTCCCCCCTTTCCTTTTCCTTTCTTTAAAAAATAAAATTTAACATATCGGCCAAAAATCAGCCGGAAAAGACCATTACTGATTTTCTTTTCTTTTTGGCTACTAGTCCCAGCAACCAAACACTCATCTTTCTTGCTCAGCGAGAAAATTTTCAGCTCACAGATTCACAATCCAACTCTACCACTCACTGCCCTCAATTGGGTTTTCCCAAAGAAGCTCGAAAGCTGCAGTCTTGCTAGATAATATTTAATAGATTTCTCTCTTATCTTCCTGCTCAGAGCTCAACTCTGTCGTCAAAAGAATTTCTTTCTCCTTCTCTTTCCCGTTACCCAACCTCAAGCATCGATTTCCCCAAAATAATTTCCCCTTTCTTCTTCCCATATTACTTCCCCGAATCCCCGGTCTATGTTCTTGCTTAGATTTCACACATGCCGGAGAAATCGGGAGTGAGCTCTCCGAGGTCCTCCACCAAGGCTCTCGCGTGGCTTTTCCGGCCCAGCCCTCTGCATCAATGGCGGTTCCACTTCCTCACCGCTCTGGTTTTCGTGAGCATGGTGGTTGTTTGGAGTATTGACGGGTGTACCATCAAGAGCTTCGTCGAATCTTTGAGGCCCAACAAGCCGCAGCAGCTCCTCACCGCCGCGAAGTTCCATCCTCCCAAACCCACCGCAAATCTAGCTCAAGAAAATCCCCACCGGGAAAATTTCACCGCCGGCGCCGATTTCGTGCTCCGCAACGAAACCGCCATTTTCGCCTCCTCCGATGTTCCTGTGAGTCCTCTCCTCAGCAGCAATGGCTCCGCCGGGAGCTTGCCGGGAGACGGAATGTTGCAGATGCCGGCAGGGGGGGAAGAAGAGTCGAGCGGCGGCGATGCGGAGTGGGTGTCGGCGGAGCTCGAGCCTAATCTCACCTCCGGCCTTCTCTCCCGGTGGTTGGCTCCCGGCGGGGAGGCATGTAGGGATTCACGGACGGACGAAATTGCGATTCCCGATCTGGACGGGAGAAAGGGGGTTCTGGAGCTTACTGCCGGAGATTCACACGAGTTCGCTTTCCAGGCGGTGGACGAGTCCAAGAACCCTCGCTGCTCCGGCGGCGATTACTTCGAGTCGGATCTTTCAGGTGAGTCGTGGAAGTCTAGGCCTCTAGTCAAAGATTTCGGGAACGGGAATTACTCAATTACCCTCCAAGTTCACCCCGATTTCGCCGGAGATTACGACCTCACTCTCATCCTCCTCTACCGCCATTTCGAGGGTCTCAAATACTCGCCGGGGAGATTCACCATCGACAAAGAGCTCCGCAAGTTCCGAATCAGATTCACCACCACAGGTAACATCCAATTACCGCAGTTAAGAGCTTGCTCGAAATCGGATTTCAGTAGAGATTTATGGGTTGGGAGATGGACTAGGCACGGTAGAAACGACGATTGCAAGATTAGTTACGACGGCCGGTACCGTTGTCTACCGGCCAATTTCCCCTGCCGGAATCCATGGTGTAACGGTTCGTTAGGGGAGTTAGAAAGCAACGGCTGGGTTTACTCCACACACTGCTCGTTCAACCTCTTCCAGCCCGCTTCGGGCTGGAATTGCCTCAAGAACAGGTGGATTTTCTTCTGGGGAGATTCCAATCATGTAGACACAATCAGAAACTTGCTGAATTTTGTGCTGAATCTGCCCAATGTGAAATCCGTCCCGCGGAGATTCGATTGGAACTTCACCAATCCTAACGACGCGTCTCAATCAGTTCGTATCACCAGCATTTTCAACGGGCATTGGAACGAGACACAGAACTACCAAGGTCTGAATTCGTTGCGAAATGATGGATTCAGGAACCTGCTGAAGAAGTACTTCACCGAAGAAACCGTGCCAGACACCATCATCATGAACTCTGGGCTCCACGACGGGATATACTGGCCGAACCTGAGGAAATTCGCCATTGGAGCTGATTATGCGGCTGGATTCTGGGCCGAGGTTATGGAGTCGGTGAGGCAGCGAGGGCTGGTTGCTCCACGGGTCATTTACAGGTCGACAGTCACCACAGCTGGGGACGCGAGGAAGATGGCGTTCAATCCGAGCAAGATGGAGGCGTTCAACTGGGTGGTGTTGGATAAGTTTCGCAGAGCCGGGTTGATCGATGGTGTGGTTGACAACTTCGACATGACTTTCCCCTGGCATTTTGACAACCGGTGTAGCGATGGAGTGCACTACGGGAGGGCTCCGTTGAGGATGAAGTGGAAGGACGGCGAGATTGGGCACCAGTACTTTGTGGACATCATGTTGGCTCATGTTCTGCTCAATGTGCTGTGTGCGAGATGAGAAATGGACATGGTGAACAGAAGTGGTACATAAGTATGTTCAAAACCGAATGTATTCTGCAGGTTTTCTGCAGGTCCTTGTTAGGAGGAGGTATTCTTTTTGTTGGTTGGTTGATGTTAGAGTTTCAGAACTCTGTGTGCATTCTTTTTCCTCTTGTTCATAGCTTGTAATATATGATACACGATGGGTAGAAGAGTGATTTACACTTGTAGATTACAAGCCGGTGATTCGAACTAAAGAAGAGACACCAGTTGGATTATGTACAAGCAGCAGCAGCATGGGTGTTTCAAATTGCAAAGTATGAGGTTGTTTCATGTCTCTCTGTTTAAGGTAAGTAATGAAGCGAGAAAGCATTGGATTCTGCTTTCGTTTTGGACGATTGCAGTTATAGTTGTTGAGTAGTGGATGATCCTTTTTTGCATCTCTTTTCCCTTTCTGGGTTGAATGCGGAAGGTGGGAGTGATCACTAACGACGATTACTATATATATATATTTTATGAGAATCTGTGGGCTTCTCATTCATTCACTAAAAGGTCCGGAATCCAAACTGCCCATATCGGCCTCCATAAAACAAAGAAGTGACAATGGGGGATTGTCCACCCAAACGATCTATCTTTCCCAGCCCGAGATAGTGTGAGCCAACCAATGGGCCGTATTGTTGTTCTTTCTTGGTGTAAAACTCTATTTCACAGAGATACCTGAAATTTCCGCGTTGCATTTTGCCAGCTTCTCGATCTCCTCACACTAGACTCCCAGTTCCGAAAAACCCCTCTCCTCTTTCAATTTCCTAATCAAAGCCCGACAATCAGATTCCACCATTAAGGGGCTGAATCCCCTTCTGTTAGCTTCACAAAGCCCCATCACAATAGCTTTAGCTTCGGCTTCAATGGGTCTGCAAATCCCTCTTTCTTTCTTCGCCGTGGCGCCACAAAAGTTTCCACACTAGTCCCTAATCACACACCCAAAGCCAACTCCAGATTGGTTGAAGACACTCGCATCAGAATTGAGCTTCAAGACACCCTAAGGAGGGGGAATCCAACCGCTAGAGTCGCCCGATCTGTTTGGTTGGGGACGAGCAGCATTACTCGAGAGGGGAGGGGGGGGGGGATCTTGAGCATCCAGATAAGCTTGCAGCCATCCCAGCGCTTTCGGAACAATATGATCCTCATCGATCTTGTGGTTGTTGTTCAGGCGATTGCATCTTTCCTTCCATAGATACCATAGGACCACACAAAATTTTTGAATCTGTTCCACACTTGAGCTTTTCCAGATCTCCCTCAACCACTCCATGCACGATTTCCTTTCCCCAATGTCAAATAATCCTTTTCCATCCCAGGTTTCCCATTGGCAGCGGATCCAGCTACATTCTCGCAAGGCATGAATTTGAGATTCTGGCAACCCACAGAAGGGGCAATCCGGGCAGGCCTCCTCGATTCACTCCTCAATATGACACCCAACAGGTAAGATATTCCTTCCCACCCTCCATATGAACATTCGAACCTTAGGAGGGATAGGAGTCTTCCAAAGAGCTTTCCAGAAATCAGAATCCTCATTTGTGATAAAATTGAGATGAGTAGTGTTATGGTTGCTATCCTCAAAGATTTTGTTGTAAGCCGACTTAACCGAGTATTTCCCATCATCCGAGTCAGTCCAAACCCTTGTATCACTCGCCAGAGGGATCCTAAGAGGAATTTTAGAGATTAGGCCATAGTACAGGTTCGAGAATTTTTCTTTTAAGATGTTCTGATCCCAAACACCCCCTCACCTTATCGATGAGAGCTGAAACAAACTCGTTCGTATCCGTGACATTAGGCTGTGGATCCTCAAAATAGTAATCCAAGGATCCTCCCAAACTCGAATAGAGTCACCATCACCAACACGCCATTGAAAGCCATCCTTGATCTTTTCTTTAGCAACCATGATGCTCCTCCAGATAAAGCTAGGATTGAAGCCTATTTTAGCATCTAAAATGTCAGTCCTTGGGAAGTACCTGTCTTTGATGGTTCTGGCCATCAGAGAGTTTGGTCTGGAAAGCACATTCCAGACTTGCTTGCCAAGCATAGCCAAATTAAAATCGCGAAGGTTTTTGAAACCCATTCCACTAACTTCCTTCTCGTCGCAGAGATTCTCCCATTTCAACCAGTGATGTTTTGGTTCTTTCCCTTTCTGTCTCCACCAAAAATTAGAAATCATTTTTTGAATGTCATTCGGAGTCCCTTCAGGGATCAGAAAAATCGTCATGGGATAGAGGAATTGAGCTTGAGCCACCGCTTTGATCATCACTTCTTTTCCCGCCTGAAACATAGTTCTGCTCTTCCAATCTTTTAGTTTCTTTCTGACACGTTCCTTAATTTCTTCAAACATCAGTTTCTTTGATCTACCCACAATGGTAGGAAGGCCTAGGTACTTAGGATGTTTAGCCACTTCCTTGATTCCCAACGTTCCACAAACTTCCAATCTTCGACTGATTCTGACATTGCTGCTAAAAGAAATATTTGACTTGTTAAGGTTGATCAGCTGGCCAGATTCCTTAGCATAGCACTTTAGAATTCTATTAAGATCATCACACTCCTGAATAGTCGCCTTCCCGAAAGCCACATTGTCATCTGCGAAGAGAAGGTGATAGATTTTAGGAGCCTTCTTCCTTAGTTGAATACCATGGAGTCTTCCCTCCTTTTCAGTTTTTTTTTTATTATCGCTAATAAGCCTTCAGCACATAGAAGAAATAGGTACGGTGATAATGGATCACCTTGGCGAAGGCCTCTAGTAGGAGTGAAACACTCTGACTTATGTCCATTCACCATCACCGAGTAGGACACTGTGGACACACATGTCATAATAAGATCAATCCACCTCTCCTCAAAACCCAAACTCCTCATAACCTTTTCCAAGAAAAACCATTCCACTCGGTCATAGGCCTTGGCCATGTCGAGCTTTGCAGCAAAATAACCATCTTTTGTCTGCTTCCTGTTCTTCATAGACCGAAAACATTCGAAGGCAATGATAACATTTTCAGTAATACACCTTTCAGGCACAAAAGCACTATGCTCTTCAGGGATAATATCATCCAGAATAGCTTTTAATCTGTTAGCAAGAACGTTAGAGATGATTTTGTACACCATGCGACACAGGCTCATAGGTCTGAAATATTTTGCCATAGTAGGGGTCTTCACCTTAGGAATTAGAACAATAAGAGTGTGATTAAGCTGAGGTGGCAGCACTCCATTATTAAGAAAATTGAGAGCAATATCATTTACCTTAGGTCCAATAGCAGCCAAGTTTTTCGGAAAGAAACCCGTCGAGAACCCATCAAACCTAGGGGCCTTATTAGGGCTCATCTGATCGAGAGCCGTCTTGATTTCTTCAGCCTTGAATTGTTTAAACAACCTCTCATTCATAGCTGGGGTAATCTTCTTTTCCAGCGCTTGGATCACAAAATCAGAGTCCGGACTAGTACCCTTTTCTAAACAGAGTCCGAATCCTTCTCGATAACTTCAATCTCACCACTGCTTCCCATCTCCACCTCCGCCTACTAGCTTCCCTTACTCACCTCCGGGTCCCAACCTCAAATCCAACTCGATTGTCAATCCCTTGCTGATTCCTTCTCCAATTTAACCTCCTTCGACCTTTTTTCCCGTTCCACAACAACTTCTCCGGCGCCATCTCTGGGCGCCCCACTAAGCTAAGCTGGTTGACCCACCTATTGACTCTCCGCCTCAAGGAAAACAATTTCACCGGCTCCATCTCCTCGTTAGTTTTACTGTCGTCGCTCCACGATTTCAATGTCCCCGATAACTGCCTCTCTGTCGGGATCCCATTAATCGATGTCTGGCATCCCATTTCTCCCCGACTATGCTCTTTGCGGCGAACTGTTGGCTCAAGCCTGTAAATTCGGGCTGAAAAATTAAAAAAATAAAAACTAATTTCTTTTAAGCCGTAAAGACCATTGCATCTAGCTCACACTCGTCGTCGCCGCCGTGGGAGACGAATCGACATATTTTAGTGTATTGGAGCGACTGAGAGGGAAACTGCCGCACTCTCCTCGCCTTGCTTCTAGCCGCCATCGCCCTCTGCTCTCTGTCAATCTCCCTCTCATTCTGTCCTCTTTATGAGCTCTCTCTCGCTCTAGGTAAGCTTCTCCACACAAACGACCTTGTATCAGCTCGGCGGCCGCGACGGGAGCAGGAACGGGACGAACCACCGAGATTCGATGGAGGACACGTCGAAGGTCACGTCGAATTTATAATGATTGCGATATGTTATGTTGAATCTACAGTTACCTCTGTTTTTAGAACTGGATCGAAGCTAAACTGGAGCAGTTAGTGGTTTAGGGTTTAGTGGTTAACTGTTACAAATTCGCTAGTGAATCGTTGATAGGACCATTCATGATATATATATTACAATAATTTAACAATGATGTTATCATTGACCACAAGCAATTTCAGGGATTTTTCCAGAAATAGCACTATTTAAAAAAAATTTCCAAAAATAGCACCTAAGTCCGAAAAATTCCAAAAATAGCACCCTTTCCCAAAAACCGCTCCCTACCAGTGTGGTTTAGGCGAAAACCGCCACCCAGGGGCGCGTTTTTCTATGAAAACCGCACCCCTAGGGGGCGGTTTTGCAGATCGCACCCCCACCATGCGGTTTGGTTGCAGATCGCACCCCCACCATGCGGTTTGGTTGCAGATCGCACCCCCACCATGCGATATGTTTTTTATTTTTTGAAAAATCCTAACCTAGGTGGAAACTTCAAACGGACGTATCTTTGTGTTCGGGTATCCGATCGTCGCGAATTTTTTTTTTGATTCCGCATAACTTTTTGAGATCTTGCATGCCGAATGTGGTTTGGTCCCACCTTCGTCCCAAAAAATGTCGTTTGCTACCCCGAACGAGCTTACTTCCGATTTCGTCAAACTTTGGACAACCATAACTTTGTGCTCCAAAATCCAAACGACATGAATTTTTTTTTATTTCGCATAACTTTTTAAGGACTGCAATTTTTACTAGAATGAATTTTTAAAACAGGAATTATTTTGGATATACAGGATTTTGGGAATAGCTTACCTTCCCTTCTCAGCAATCCACGTACATTTTGAAATTATGTCTATGATAAAAGTTGTATTCCTTAAAAATTTATGCGAAATAAAAAAAATTCATGTCGTTTGGATTTTGGAGCACAAAGTTATGGTTGTCCAAAGTTTGACGAAATCGGAAATAAGCTCGTGCGGGGTAGCAAACGACATTTTTTGGGACGAAGGCGAGATCAAACCACCTTCGGCCGTCTTCGACTTGCAAGATCTCAAAAAGTTATGCAGAATAAAAAAAAAATCGCGACGATCTGATACCCGAACACAAAAATATGTTTGTTTGAAGTTTCCACCTAGGTTAGGATTTTCATAAAAAAAAAAAAAGCAGATCGCATGGTGGGGGTGCGATCTGCAACCAAACCGCATGGTGGGGGTGCGATCTGTAAAACGCGCTCCTAGGTGGCGGTTTTCGCCTAAACCGCACTGGTAGGGAGCGGTTTTTGGGAAAGGGTGCTATTTTTGGAATTTTTCGAACTTAGGTGCTATTTTTGGAATTTTTTTTAAACAGTGCTATTTCTGGAAAAATCCCGCAATTTCAAATTCATATCATCACCAAAATATCTAATAAATCATACAAACCGTCTCACAAAAGAACTTTTAATTTTTAATTCAAATTAAAAGTTATGATATAGTAGTTAGACGGACAACGTAAAGTTGACAACAAGGTTGGAAAATGAGAAGAGAAAAAATATATAAAATTAATAATTATGGTTTGATGGTCTTAGTTTATGTTAATGTATTTTTAATTTATTTTTTGTTAAAATAATGAACCAATGGATCAGTTAAACCGTGGTGGTTCATCTGGTTTTATGTTGAACCGTGAAAAAGCGTTTGGTCTATCAATAACCATCCAAACAATGAACCGAACCGCTATCATAACTTATTTGGTGGTTTCTACTAGTCCGACCGTTGATCTGTTCGATTCTTATGAAAATTACAATTATGAAGAAAAAATGACTACTGATTTTTTAGAAACAAGGCAGTGCAAAAACCTCCCTTGATATTGGTGGAAGGAGGTAGTTAGTTGTCACGCATCTACCATATATATATATATACTAGCTTATAACCCGGCCCGTTGGCCGGAAGATTCATATTTGATTATTTATATTTTTATGCTACGTTTAAATCTATCAACTTGTTTAATTTTATTGACAATCCTTCGATCGAGATGATACATATATAAAGAATATATCGATCGAAAATTTGAAGAAATATAGAAATGTATCATTGATCTCATTTTCATAATGATAATTAAGTTCCCGATAAAATGCTATTGGTTAGTTGGTAATCAAGAAATATAGAGTATAAAAGCTCACTGGAATTCCCTCACGAACCATAGATAGTTTGAAACTAAATTTTAAACCTCACAATCCTACATAAAGGTTTAATGCTTTCATTTTAAAAACAATATTCCACTCATAAAAAAGAAATAGAGACTTGTTGATTCAAGTCAACTATATGCTAACAACTCACCTAAGAGGGGACCATCACAACTTGAGAGCAAACGTCAAATTAGGGCTCTATCAAAGTAATAAGGAACAAAATTGGACACTCCTTCTCTATCAGTTCCAGTAGGTTGAATAAAGAATCGACCGACCTATTCAGTAAATCAATCGATGATTCCTACTTTTAAGATATAATTAGGTCACCATAGCTTCAACAACCATAAACCTACAGATCCAATAGCCACCACTCTCCGTTGTACAATAAATTTTTATCCACTATATCTTCAATCTCAAGGCGTATGTTTCAACTAATAATTCAATTTTTAATCCTCCTTCGGCACCTCCATTTATTGAACTCCATTTTATTCGCCATTGATTGATATCGGAATTGAAATCCTTTACTTGCCCAGTTTAAATTCCCAAGAATTAAATCGTAGTGCCAAGAGACTGGAAGATTGATTTTCAAAGGCGGCCTTGTACTGTGAAGTGAAGGGGAGCAAACTATTGCACCGTAGACGGAATTTCAGAGGTCGTTAGAAAGAGATAAGAGCAAATATAAAAAAGTACAAATTGAAAAATAAATTGAAAAGGCAAGGACACAACACGTAGTAATAGAATTAGTTTCTTCCATGTTGGCCAATTACCAATTTACATTTAGTGACAATTAAGGAGAGAGCAGTAATTATAGAATTGAGAAACTACATAAAACTCTGCTATGAAAATTGATGTATCAATCACCATAAAAATACATATGGTAGACTTAGTGGGCTTGCTAATCATGATGAAAAAGTCCTATGATTTTCAGAGTGTCACCTCGTGTATGTTTTGTGTTAAAAAAGATACAAAAAATTTGTTTAGTCTAATTGGTTGTGATGTTGTCTTTATTTGTAGAGACCCGGGTTCAAATCCTGATATTGACCTTTTTTATATGGAATAATTAATTGTAAAGACAAAACTGTCCTTCCTACTTTTACGTTGTCTTTATTTGTAGAGACCCGGGTTCAAATCCTGATATTGACCTTTTTTATATGGAATAATTAATTGTAAAGACAAAACTGTCCTTCCTACTTTTACTCTCGTTGCAGGAAATTTGAAATAGAGAAAAGTAGATAAAACTCTACTATATACTAGCTTATAACCCGGCCCGTTGGACGGAATGTTAATATTTGATTATTTATATTTTAAGTTAAGTGTAAGTCTATCAAATCGTTTAATTTTTTTGACAATCCTTCGATCGAGATGATACATAAAGATACAATATATAGGCCGAACACTTGAAGAAATACCATCATCATTTAAGAATATAAAATATAAAAAATGTATCATTGATTTCATTTTCATAATTATAATATTATATTGGTTAGTTGATTGTCAAGAAAGATATATAAAAGCTCATTGGAATTACCACACGACCCATATCTTGTTTGAAACTGAATCTGAAATCTCACAATCCTACACAAAGGGTTCAATGCTCTCCTTTTAAGAACAATATACCACTAATAAAAAAGAAATGGAGAGTTGTTAGTTCAAGTCAACTATATACTAAAAACTAAGCTAAGAGGGAACCATCAAAACTTGAGAGCAAACGACAAAATTAGGGTTACCTCCAATATACTAATAGACTTGATCAAAGTCATAAGGCACAAAATTAGATACTCTTTATCTATCAGTTTGAGTAGGTTAAATAAAGAATCGACCTACTTCAGTAAATCAATCAATGACTCCTCGTTTTAAGATAGAAATAGGTTGTGGTAGCTGCAAAAACATAAACCTAAAGAGCCAATAGCCACCATTCTCCGTTGAACGACCAAATTTTTATCCACTCTGTCTTCAATCTCAAGAGGCATATGTTTCAACCAAACATTCACTTTTTAACTCTCCTTTCGCAACTCCATTTTTGCTACTTTGATGGACCTTCTCTCTGTGGCCCTCAACTTTTCTTCTAGTTGGGGTTCTTGTCAACTCGCTCTTCAACTCCTCAATCTTCTTCGTGTGTTTTGCCAACTCATCTTCCTAAGGGGCAGTTGTAATAAGTTCGCTAAAACAAACACTCATCTCCAATTTCATCAATATGTTCATCTCCCCCTTGTTTGCCTTCACTTGTTTCAGTCCACTTCCATGCCCTTCAATACCCTCTCCATTTTTATTACTATGCTCATCATCCCTCATTTCTCTCTCTTTAACTCCTCCATTTTCGCTTCCATGTCTTTCAGTACCCTCCTAGATTCGCTCAGTACTCTCTTCTCCGCCTTCACCTGCTGCAGTGGAACTTTACCTGCTACTAAATCCAAACACAATTTCTTCC